GTTGAAGTTGCTGATGAAGATGTTAAACAGTGGAGGCCTGAGGACTGAGCCCTGGGGTACTCCAAAGCTCACATCTCACCAAGTTTGAGTACAGCCCATCCACCACTACTCTCTGGGTGTGCCCCATCAGCCAATTTTTTACTCATCCAACTGTGTTGGCATCAATGCAACAGTCGCTTAATTTATTGATGAGGAAGGGAATTTATTGATGAAGATGGGACAGCTGCTCCACAATACAGGTGCCATGGCACAAGCTGAATGTTGAGATTTTAAACTCACTGTCATGGTATGTATGATTCCCTCAGCTGAGGGCCAAGGTCTGTTTGTGGAAAGGCTTGAACTGCTGATGCTGGCTATGCTAGCACCATTACTGTTAAGAGGGCTTCATACTTAAATGGAGTTGTCTTGGCAGGTTTCATGAATAATACATTTCCACAGATTTAAAAAAGCTTCTGCTCTTGTGGTTTTGTACCATTTTGGGCTGGGCTCACCCAGTAGCAGAAAGTGTTCTTTTTATCCCAAGAAGTGTTATCACTGCTTGAAGAATTCAGTTGCCACCAGTTTAAGATCTGCTCTGTAACATGTATTTTGTCATTAAAGCTTTATCTTTAATTTGGCCTGCGTGTCTTAGTATTCCTCAGTGTTCCTTTGAGTGATGTTGGAGCATCCTGGGGAGTATCCAGGGCAATCAAGATCAGTCAGTTGAAAGAAAAATGAAGGTGAAGGAAGACATTGATTAGCTTGGAGTTAGGATACCAAACAAATTCCTGATTTTTAAAAGGCAGTATGGATTTAGTGTCCATTGGCTTCATAAGTTACTGCCTGCAGTGAGAACTGCTCAGAGCTTAGCAACTGAACATTTTGTTACCTTCTTAGAAGCCTAACTTTGGACTCCTATTTAAAAGTCACATCTAGGATAAATTGAATATCTTATTTCTCCCAGAGCATGTCATAGGACACCACTGGAAAAACAATAAATAAATAAATAAAGCAAAGAGCCTGGTTTGTTTTAGGGGAACATATTTTATGGTTTAACTGCAAGTTCTTGATAGCAACCAGAAAAACAAAGCTAATTATATGGCATAGTATTTTAATATAATTTTCATATGTAATGCCTTGGAGTTCTTTGTATGGCATTTATTTTTAGAAAGCATGATAATTTTTATATAAGTTCTTTAGGGACTTCAAGGTTAACTAATAGCTAAACAGTTCATCACACTTTGGAGTTTAAACTAAAAAGCTTTAGTTGCTGATTTAAAAAATCTACCTTCAACAGAATGAGTGTGGCTTTGAAAATGTAAATATCTACATTAAAGAGTTGAATGAGTAAATAAGAATTTTCCTGGAGTTGACTTTTTTCTCCTATATTTGAAATGTCAGTGACTTAGAATAGCTGGGAGCGTGCAAGAAACTCACACATGGTGGATGTTTTGTTTGTGCCCCACATTGTCTTGATAACAATGAGGATAGGATATCTCGTCCCATAAGCCTGCTCAGCATCCTGTATTTCATAATTGAAAATGCATGAAGCTTGCAATGTTATTAAATTGCTGCCAAACTGCTAATTAATTGTTTAAATACTTTACAGCTGTAGACTTCTTCAATCAGATCAACATGCTTTATGGAACCATTACAGATTTCTGTACGGAAGAAAGCTGCCCAGTCATGTCTGCTGGCCCAAAGTAAGAATACTTGTTACACATCACTGAAAGTGCAGCTTTTGATATCAATCTTTTTTTGAAAATTTTACACACTGATCAATTCCTTTAATATAAAAAAACCTTATGAAGCTGAAGGAAATGTGCTTTGCTTGTTATAAGGTAAAAAGAGGGCCTAAAACTTTATGTAGGGGGAATGAAAAGTTCCCTTTTGTCTTTAATCTTTAATATAAAATGTGTTTTCTTTTTTGTTGGAGACTTCACTTGGGAGCATGTCTTTGTGATACAGGTAGATAACTCTTAGTCTGTAATTGCACTGTTAGAGAAATTGAGAGCTCCTTTCTTAAATGTCCTAAGTAGATACTGAAATTGTAATGACATTTTTATAACTGTGTACATAAAAATCCCTACTCTCAGATGCTAAAATTTACATTCTTGATTCCTGTCATTTAATACTTTTATCAAATCTCAAGCTGTTTAATGTCTTCCAGAGTGGAAAATACATGAATTACTAATATAAACTTTTCCTTTTAGGCCATGTTTATACAGCCTAAAGAAATTAGCTTTACTCGTTAATCTACCTTTCCCTCCCCTCCCATACATGTCTTCTTTTGTTAAATTTTGATGTTAAAAATATTTGAAGTCAACAGTGCAAACTCCTGGACTGCTTGAAATGTAATGGTTTCTGCAGCTTTTTGCTGCAAGCCAGTGAATGGTCAAAGTATACTGTAAAGTGCATGGTATTATACAGAAATATGTCATAAAGTTTGTGTGCATGCTTGCATATGTGTAATTTGCCTCTCTATAATTTGCTTCCATATGCAGCATAGACATTAGTGGTAATGTATATGGTTAAGTATGAACAAGAAACTATTTTTCTGCCCTACTATTTACCTGCAAGCAGGATATATGCACTTTAAGGTCTTAAATTCATGATTAAGATGTAGAAAAATGCCCAAAGTAATTTTGTTTCCATCAAAAAGGATTGTAACAATGTATAGGAAGATATCTGGCACTAAATTAAGTGTAAAAATTGGACTGACAAAGGGATCTGTTTAAAATATCTGTGAAATGCACTGTGCCGGGGTGGCAACCTATGATCTGTGGGCTGGATCCAGAGATGGCAGTGGTTAGGTCCTAGAAACTGTCTGGAACTGAGCTGGGTCATTCTGGCCCACCTGCCAGAAAATGTTTTTGATGTTGACATTAAGTCTTGGACTGTGACAGGTAGGATGAACACCTCTTTAAAATGCAAAGGCAGGACATATGCTGTGCCCCCCCTCCCCCCCCCAAGCGACGTGGCCAGAGCAGAACTGAGTGGGGCAGGGGTGGATGTGGGCTGTAGGATCAGGGCTTCCCACTTTGCTGCCATTCCCCTGGGAGCCGCACACTGCTTGTGCGCCCCCCTGCCTGCCTGGCAGCCATGGGAGGCACAACCCCATGCTTCCACCACCCTGGCAGCTGGTGTGCGGGCATGGGGCATGTCACTGTGTTGGTGCAGGGCTCCAGGGAAGAGGACAGCAGAGCAAGGAGCCCCAGGCCCACAGCAGACAGCCCTCATCCACCCTGACCCCACACACAAATCTGGGGGTATGTGCCCTCAATATGCCCACAACCTGAGGATATAGATTTCATAGACATTAGGGCTGGAGGGGACCTCAGAAGATCGAGTCCAGCCCCCTGCCCCAGGGTCAGGAAGTCAGCAGGGAT